GTCCCAGGAGAGAAGACAGCTATAAAAAGAAGCACATCTTTCTCTCTCTGTTCTCGTCAGTGGGAGGTGGAGCTGGGATTTCGGAAAACAAGCGAACCCGCCTCAGCGGGCAGGCCAAATCGGTGTCAGGCGACGGAGGCGACCTGCCCCGACGAGGACCTGGGTGCTCTGGCCCTTCAGCCCCACCAGGGCTGCGCGAGAGGGCAGAGCTGGCGGCGGGGGGGAGATGCGCGGCTGGGCGAGAATCTAGATGCTGATAGAGGGAAAAAAGCCTCTGATGAATCACCGCTTTGGTTTCTGTTTCACTCGGCTTCCCTTCCGACTGAAGCGATAAAAGAAACGCAAAGTACTGTCATCCCTCCCGGCTGTACCAAATTTATGCAACGTTTTACACTCGGTACCTGCTTGTAGGTCTTCAGGAATCACTGCGTCGATGAGACTGTCGAGCCGCAGCGGTCAGACCAAAGGTCCGCCTAGCACAGCCCCGCGTTTCAAGGCATGGTCCATAGTTGTCTAGTGAAAAGTATAAAAAAAGTGGACGAGCAGTGATTCCTGCCAGCCGCAGCCTCTCCATGCGAGAGGTGGGTTGTCCCGTGTTCCTGGCACTGAGTGGGGTCTCAGGTGACCTTGCTTCACCTTCTGCCTCAGTTCCTGCTGCGTAAGTGCACTTGCTGATATTGCTTTGCCTCATCCTGCCCCCTTATATTGACGTCCGCTGGGCTGTGAGCTGTCTCTCCAGCACAAGGAGGGATGAGGGTCACTCGCTGCGAATTTGCAGGGATGTCAGTTACGTTTTAAAGCTGAACTGCCGTGAACTCAATTTGCCAATTTAGTAAGTGCTATAGGCAATATTGGGATGTAATTTAATTAAGCTATCCCCTTTTTATAGAGTTCAGGGAGCATTCACGTACTAATTTTAGCACTAGGTTTGTTTCAGCTTTACTCTGGACACTGTTTCTGAAATCATGACATGTTGTTAATCTTAACCAGTCAACAGTTTATTAATTTGCTGAGAACTACAGAAGTATATAATCAGTGGTTCATCCATCAAGGCTAAATCCAGCAAATGTTCTAGGCAGGTACTGAGCATAAAATATACATACAGGCTTGTAAGCAATTAATACACACCAGAGCTGGAGCCTTGCAGCTCAACCAGGGAACAGCACGCATCTCAAAGATTTCATATTCCTTTTATGTATAATCATCATCTGTTACCAGTTCCTTAGCGCCCCTAATACAGCTTCCAGTAATTCTGCAAGGATTGAGGATGCATTTATCTTAAGGCTTTTTAGCAATGTGGTCTCTGCCATTACCTAATTGTTTGGCCTTAAAAGGACTTGTTTAAAATGTCGAGGGCAATGGCTTACAGATATTGTTAGAGTCTCTCTGAGGTCAATCTGCTTGGGCTTATGCAGGAGAAACGAGCACGTAGCTTTGCTTGGTTGAAATCCGGAGTTGGAAGACCCGAGGACTCTCTCAGTTACTGGGGAAGGAAAGGAAGTACAGGCTCTGAAATGTCACGTCACCGCTGCTGCTTTTTACAAGGGCCCAGTGATTCCCAGGGGTGAGGCTGAAATGGGGTCCCTGCTGTTCCTTACCCTGCGTAGAGGGGTGACAGCTCTCCTGCTTCCATCGCTCGCTTCCCCTAGGGCTTTCTCTTTCTCTTCTCGTGATTTTTCTGCTGTTTTTGCTTGTACCCAGTAGATGGCATCAGTGCACAACAGATTTCTACAGCTCTTTTCTTATCGGAGGCTTTTTTTTTGTTTAGTTAGTCCTAGGAATTATTAGTTGGAATCTTGTCCTATTAACTGGAATCTCGCTGAGGTCGTTAGGTAATTTGGAGTTCCTGGTTGCGATCCTGCCTTTGAGCCCTAACTTTCAGTGCAACAATCTGCAAGCGATAAAGTGCATCTGTTTCAGTACTGCTTTTCCTTAGTGAGCCAGAGAATTCCTATGGTGTTTGGAGAGTGACCGGCATTTTAAAAGAGAACAAAATCCCATTGAGCCTCTCTAAACCTGGTGGCTCTGCTCTGTGCATTCTTTGAGTTCAATGTATATTTCAGAGCATCTGTAAGGGATCACAGCAAAATAGGAGATGTTGCATCGGAAGAACTGGTCAGATTATTGCCAACGCAGAAAGGTGTATCGCTGATCCCATCTGTTGGCATGTAGATAGCTGCTTATCCAGGAGGGAAGACATGCTGAAGAAGTGAAAGGGCTTGAGCAGCATGTGTTGGTGATTTATAATTTGAGATGAAAAGCTGTGAATTGGATTTAGAGGAGTGAAGGAAACACCTGTGAAATGACTTAAACTCAGGTTTCCCCACCTGTATCTTGGCTTTAGTTCAGTCGTGGGTACTAATGTGCCCTGTTGCTCTTGCATGTTACCTGACAGCAGCTCCTGTTAGGAGGCTCAAGGGAGGCAGGGTTGCTAGCCCCAGAGAGGTAAGAGGGGTCTTTTGATTTCCCAAGGAAAGTGAGCTTTGGTCTTAGTCTGGGAGCTAGTTAAGGGTTTTGCTAGCCCTCCTCTGGTAGGGTTAGGCGGTGCCCACTGGCTCCTGCAGTGGGAGCTGGTTGTCAGCTGGGTTGCTGCAGGAGGAGGCAGCAGCAGCAGGTACAGGGTATATGTGGTGCAATGTGAGTGTGTATATGTGCATGTGTGGTCCTGCAATGTGAGTGTGTATATGTGCATGTGTGGTCCTGAGCTGCCCGTATCTCTCATCATGGGATCTTGCTGCAGTGAGGCCCTCCCGGAGGAGCTGGAGGACCTGTGTTGTGTATCCATGACCCACAGCCAGGCATGGGAAAGGCTGCCCACCGAGCGGGCAGCAGAATTGGGGTGTCTGGTTTTGCTGCTGTGCATAAGCTGACTTTGCCATGGCAGAACAATACACAGTTGCAA